AGGGAAGGAAAGTGATAAATCAAGTCATTAGGTCCGGGACTCAAACTGCAGTCAGCCATATGGGAGTCCAGTGTACTCAATCACCATGCTACCTGCCAGCCCCTAAACTATTTTAACTTTATTTACTTATTCAATTTCAATTTGACCAGAGAGGGAAAGGGAGAGAGAAAGAGAGAGAGAGAGAGAGACACGCAGAAAGTGAGAAACCAGGTCCAGGACTTGAACAGCAGTCGGCCATGTGACGTGCCCTTAACCACTCCACCACCTGCAGGCCCCTCCAATAAGAGGTTTTGAAGTTCCATTGAGGACTACAAGTCTGAAGAATACAGAGTTACCAAATTAAGAGCATCTATCTATAAACAATGGAAACTCAAATGTATATTACAGTGGGGAATGAGATACTAAAATAAACATGTCTTAATTATTCATTAAAAAAAAAAAAAGAAAATGGGACCAGAAGTTGGCGTAATGGCTATGTTGATGGACTCCCATGTAGTCAACTGTGGTTTGCATCCTGGACCCGTTAGCTTAAACTCATGCCAAGCACGTGTGCATGTGTGCCCAAGATCCTGAGAGGAGAATGGAGGAGAAGGGATTGCGGTGTGGCCATGCCCCCTGGCAAACACACATGCCCTATGGCAGAAAAACTAAATAATAATAATTAAAAAATAATTCCATTAATACAAGGAATCTTCAAAAAGTTCATGGAAATGTATAATATGAAAAAGCTATAGGTGGATTTCAAAATTTTTTGCACCAAAAAAAATCATGCATTAATTCCATTTTCCACCACCTTTTTTAAGTCTCCTCATATATAGTACCTCAAATAGTCATACAAAGACAGAAAGTAGAGCAGAGGTTATCAGGATCTGGGGAGAAAGAGAAAAGGTAATGACTGCTAGTAAGTATGGGGTTTCTAAGGAGGATGATGAAGATATTCTAAAATTATACAGCAGTGATGGCTGCAAAACTCTGACTATACTACCAACCACTGATTTGTGTACTTTAAATAATTATTTATTTAATTTAATTTATTATTATTATTTTAAATTTGCTATAGGGCTCCTGCATTCACCAGAGATGGACAGGGACAGTAAGAAAGCAAGTAACCAGATCCAATACTTGAACTTCTGTCAGCCAAGTGGGAGTCCAGTGCCTTAATCACCATGCCACTCATTGGCTCCAATTTGTGTACTTTAAACAGGTGAACTGTGGGAGCAGATGGCGTAATGGTTATATCACTGGACTCTCACGTGGTTGACTGTAGTTCGAGTCCTGGATCTGGCAGCTTGAAACATACTGGGTGTGCATGTATGCATACTCAAAATCCCAATAGGAGAATGGAGAAGGGACTGCGGTATGGTCATCCCCCCAAAGGGTGATTTGTCGCTTTGTGTGTCTCCATCTCTCTGGAGAATGCATGCGCCCTATAGCAAAAATCCTTCAGAAAAAAAAGGTGAATTTTATGGTATGTAAACTATATGTCAACTTTAAAACATGATAATTATATCATTTCATTTGCCATCAACATAAAAATTAAGAATGTTTGGTATACCTCTGGGTCGTCTCTCCGTCACCTTTTGCTACCAAAATAATTTGGGCATATGTTTAGTAAAATTTTTGATTCAGCTTTAGTGTGCTTAAAAAGGGAATGCAGGTTGAATATCCCTAACTTGAAAACCTGATATAGTAAATGCTCCAAAATCCAAACCTTTTTAAACATCAATACAATGCCACAAGCAGAAAATTCTACATCTGACCTAATGATGGGTCACAGTGATATGATACAGGGACCAGCAGATGGCTAAATGGTTACATCGCTGGACTCACATGTAGTCAACTGCGGTTCAAGTCCCAGACCCGGTGGCTTGAAACTTATGCCAGGCATGTGTGCATGAGTGCCCAAGATCCCAAGAGAATGGAGGAGAAAGGATTGTGGCATGGCCATCCCCTCTGGAGGTGGGGGGTGATTTATCTCTTTCTGTCTCTCTCTGTCTCTTTGGCGAGCACAAATGCCCTATAGCAAACATCTCTACATCTCTCTTTAGAAAATGCTGCAATAAAAAAAATTATATAAAATTACCTTTAGTTTATATGTATAAGATGTATATGTTGAAAATAAATTAATTTCATTTTTAGACTTGGGCCCTAGTCTCCCAAGAAATCTCATTACATACGCGTAAAAATTCCAAATTCCAAAAAATCCAATGTCTAAAACACTTTTTTCCCCAGGCATTTCAGATAAGGGATACTTGACCTGTATTACTATCTGACATCTTTTTTTCTAATTGAAGATTAGAAAAGATTAATTGCCTGGAAATTAGTTATATAACTTTTTCATTATTATTTAAAGCAAATTTTTAAAATAATTATTATTTTATTTATTATTATTATTACTATATTTGCTATAGAGCACATGTGCTCACCAGAGAGAGGAGAGAGGGAAAGTGAAAACCAAGACACCTGTTACGAGACTTCAACCATATTTGGCCATGTGGGAGTTCAGTAGCTCACCCACCATACCACCTGCTGGCCCCAAAAGCAAGAAATTTTATTAGGGCATTTTTTTTGTTTAATTCAAGGCCAGGTTCAAATCTGGTTCAAAACAAGTTGACATAAGCAAATTCCATTGGGCATATATTTTTGGTTTTAGTTTCAAGGTAAAAACCATCAGGAAATGATGAATGAATACTCTAGGACAGCTCCGGAGGCAGTTTAACTTGAATGTCAAATTTAAAGCTACAGTTAAAATTCTATTATTTATTTCTACTTTTTTTCTTTTTAAAATAACATTTGCTTCCAGGCCAACGTTCAGCAGTATAGTGGTTAAGGCAGCTGGATCCTATATGGCTGACAATGTGGGGAGATCAGGATACAGCAGCTTGAACAACACACCAGACACATGTGCATATGTGTCCAAGATCCCAAAAGGAGGGAGAAATGGAGAAGGGACTATAGCGTGACTATCCCTCATGGGGGATGCTTTGTTACTTTCCTTCTCTCCCCCCGCCACCATAAATGTATGTACCCTTTGGCAAAATAAAGTAACATTTATTCCCTGCATAATATTAATACAGAAATACATATGTACATATATGCTTCTTTGTTGTAAAAAAAAATCTTATAATGAATAGGAAAACAACAGAAACAAAAATCACCTATATCCTACCATTCAAAGATAACCAATGTTAAAATTTTGTTCATCGGGACCAGCAGTTAGCGTGATGGCTATGTCGCTGGACTTCCATGTAGTCAATCACAGTTCGAGTCCCAGACCAAGTGACTAAAAATCTCACGCTGGTCTCGTGTGTGTGTTTTTCTAAGATCCCCAGAGGAGAATGGAGGAGAAGGGATTGTGGTGTGGCCATCCCCCCAGGGGGTGATTTCTCGCTTTCTGTCTCTCTCTCTCTCTCTGTCTTTCTGGTGAGCACACACACCCTATAGCAAAACCTCTCCAAAAAAAAAATTTGTTTATGTCCTACCAGGAATCTTATTTATTTATATATATAAATAACATACATATGATATAAATTCAAGTACATTTGTTTAGAAAATTGTGATGGTATAGATAGATAGATACCTTTTCAAACAGCGTTTATGTTCATTTAACAAAATATCTCAGATATTCTCCTGTGGCATAAAGTATCTTTAACATAATTTTTATGGCTTTTTAGTATGTCATCATATGACCATACCATGATTTACTAGTTTTTACTATTACAAAATATAAAATATTATAAACAATTATGTAAACATCCTCATGTATTTTTATACTCATCGCTGACTACCTCCATAGAACTTATTTGCAAAAAGTGGGATTACAGTGCCTATGAATCATTTCTAATTGATAAAGGCCAAAAGAAGCAACAAAATGGAAATAAAATAACATTAGAGGAATTAAAGAAAAGTACATACCTGACAAGGTAGCATCAAATCCCATGTCTTCTATTGCTTCTCTCAAGGTTTCTGGAGAGGTTAGTAGCGGATCATATTCAATTGTACCACTGCTATTTGCAAGGGAGACACATACAGATTTTACACCTGCCTTTTTTGATATGACACCTTCAATAGACTGCACACAAGAATTACAAGTTATGCCACCAATGTTTATCACAGTTTCTTGAGTAAGAGGCTGGCTAACTATATTCAATGGAATCTTTTGAAGAGACGAGCTGGAGGGAGAGTTTGCAGTACTCTCAACTTCCCTTGCAATACTAACTCTATATTGTCCTGGTGATATGGCCTCTATTGCTTTTCTCAGGGTTTCTGGAGTGACAGAATTGGCATTGTACTTCACGATGGCAGACCTGTTCTCTAAAGAAACTACTATGCTGCTCACATACTGGAGTGTAGATAAAGCACTTTCTATATTTGACACACATGATTTGCAATGCATGCCATCTATGATGAAAGTGGTTGTTAAGTTGCTGGTACATGATGGACTCTTTTGCTGTGACCCTTCTGAGGATTTGACTGGAGTGTTCTTTAGACGCTCTATATCAATAGCTCCCAATTTGAGGTACTTGGGCTGTTTTCTGATGAACGCTGGAAAACCCAGAGCTTCGATCTGCTTTTTTATTTCCTCTACTGTGATAAGATGAGGTTGATAAATGATAGTAGCTTCTTGGTTGTCCAGGGAGACTAGTTAATAAAAAAAACATAATTATTAATATTTAATTCAGTTATTCCTAGGCCATTTCAGAAAACATTTTATTTTCTGAATCAACCACAAATAATTGTTTCTCCTATTCTTATCATCAGATTTTCTCTTTTAGAGAGAGATTTTTGCTATAGGGCATGTGTACTCACTAGAGAGAGAGAGAGAAAAAGTGAGAAACCACCCCACAAGGGGGATGGCCATACTGCAATCCTTTCTCCTTCGTTCTCCTCTTGGGATCTTTGACACGCATGCACATGTGCCTGGCGATGAGTTTTAAGCCACCAGGTCTGGGACTTGAACCACAGTCAACTTCATGGGAGTTCAGTGATAAAACCATTATGTCATCTGCTGGTCTCTCATCCTATTTCCTTAAAATAACAATTTTTTGAGAGGTTTTTTGGCTATAGGACACGTGCACTCACCAGAGAGACAGATTCAGACAGAAAGTGAGAAACCACCCCCCCCACGAGGGATGGCCATGCTGAAATCCCTTCTCCTCCATTTTCCTCTCAGAATCTTGGGAATGTATGCAAACATGCCTAGCATGAGTTTTAAGTCACTGGGTCCAGGACACAAATCAAGGTCGAGTACATGGTAGTCCAGCGATACAACCACTATGTCATCTACTGGTCCCAATTTAATTCTTTTCAGAAAACGTTACTCACACAGACTAGAAACACATAAAGATGACCACTGGGGCCAGCAGGTGGTATGGCAGTTGAGACACTGGAGTCTCATATGGCCGACCACAGTTCAAGTCCCAGACTGAGAGGCTTTCTTTCTCGCTTTCCCCTTCTCTATTTCTGTTGTCAAATTAAAGAATAACAACAAATGGAATTAAACAAATAAGTGATTCTTAAAAAAAAAAAAAGGTGACTACTGTAGCTATGGTCTCCAAGTTTCTGCATGCATGCCCAAGTAGAAATATATTAGCGGAAAAGAGTTCCCAGGTATGTTGGGTTAAGAACCCCGAACACCAGGACCAGCAGTTAGCATAATGGCTATGTCGCTGGACTCCCATGTAGTCGACCGGAGTTTGCGTCCCGGACCCAGTGGCTTAAACTTCACGCCGGGCGCGTGTGCATGCGTGCCCAAGATCCCAAGAGGAGAATGGAGGAGAAGGGACTGCGGCGTGGTCATCCTCCCAGGGGGGTGAATTCTCGCTTTCTGTTTCTCTGTCTCTCTCTGTATGTCTGGCAAGCACACGAAAAAAAAAAAAAAAAACTCTCTAAATAAATAAATAAATAAATAACCCTGAACACCATGAATTGTCACCCCAGCTGCCTTTTCTACTAAACTTCAGTTCAACACTCACGTAACCTTTAATTATGTTTATTAACTTTACTGACATTAATCCTGAGAATATACTGCACCTCTTCGATGAAACAGTAAGCACTCTAGTCCCATGGATTCAAAACCCATGTTTAAGAAGAAAATAAAAAGTTAAAAGATCAAAAAAGGAAAACTAAGCCTTACAAAATAACTAACGCCAAACATATTACCTTTAATTCGCTGAATACCTTGCAGTTTCCCAATTTTTCCTTCAATGGTACTCGTGCATGAATGACAGGTCATCCCTTCCACTTTCATCTTCAGCATAACTTCACCTGTTTGTGCCATACAGCTATCTTCACAAGATCCTGACTTTTTTTCCAGTGTCCCAATATCTAAACTGAGATCTGGAACCAGTTCTATTATCTGATTGGCACTTACTATAGACGGAATTATTGTCACTACTGCAGTTCTTTGCTGAGGAGAAATTTTAATGTCAGCCACACCCTTCGTCTTGAGCAATGTACTTTGGATATGATCCCATTGTGGAGTCAGTGAAGCAGTAATAGTCAGAAACACAGTGTCAGTTAAAACAGGGAGAGGGCTGGCATTATGGAGAATGGCATCAAAGCCCATGTCATCGATAGCTTCCTGTAGTTTTTTTGGAGTCTGCAGTTTAGGATCATAAATAATAGTTGCATTTTTTTCTTCCAGTGAAACCTTTTGGAAAGAAATTCCAGAAGTCAGTTTAATTAAATTACATATAACACAGGACTTAAAAATATCAATAATAATATCACGTTCAAGAAAAATTAAACAAATAGCCTGATGGGGTCTCTCCACTAGTTTTAATCTTTATTATTCTCATCAGAAAGAAACATAAAATGCCTTGTTGAACCTACAAGAACGCTAAAGCTACATACAGGTGTACGTGACTGTGATACTGATCAGGCATTTGAAACATATACATGGACAAATACACCCTAGAATTTCAAAACAGAGTACAAACTACTTTCCTACTCTCTCCTTTCACAAATTACTCCAAACCTTCACACTTTACTAATTCAAAAGTTTATATAGTAAACAGCAGCAGAAAATAAAAGGTAATATAAAGGTTAATCTTTAAAAGTGTTTAATTAGATAATTTTGCTGACAAGAAAAGGTATAAATATGCCAGTTTATGAAAAAAGGTAGCATTCATAGGATTTTGTATAATATACTCTTATATTTCCTTATGTGACTACAGCATAATATGAAATTTATTAAAAATAACATTTTTTGTGTTTTATATTATTAGCTTATAAAACAATTATTATATTATTAAAGCCCAGCTATTGCATATAATTTAACTATTGCAGTGACTTCATCTCTTTAGCTGACAAGATGAAGACACGCACCCAAACACCAAGTTGGGGTGGGAATCAGAAGATCTAAATTCTGTTGTCAATTCTCCAACTTACAAGCCAATCACATTTATTAGTTCTATCATCTGAAGAATGGGAAAATATGCCCTATTATCTCCCAGAGTTGTTATATAATTATTGTACAGGTAAATAGAAAAGTTCTTTATAGCGCAGCAGTAATGAGTTATAAAAAAGTAAACACTGAATGACTAATATTTATCAAGTACTTTGTTAATATGTGCCAGGAAATGGGATTCTCAGAATATAAAGCTGAACATGGATGGCATAGTCACAGGGAGTAATATTAAGACAGAGAATACTATAAAATATACTACCAGCTGAGAGTTAGAAAAGGCTTCTTAGGGAAGATAATACCTGAATATTAAAGGATAAACGTGAAATCAGCAAGGACATGTGAGGCAGGAAATTTCAGACAAATAGAAGCATAAGTGTAGAGAAAAATGAAAAGATAGAGAATCATGCAACTGCCTATTGTGGAGTCTTACATGCCAATAATGGTTTTCAGTTTATCCTAAAGGCAATTGGGAGCCCTGGAAAAGTTAAGCAGGAGATTACATAATTAAATTTGCATTTTAGGGAAAAATTATTTTTCAGCCCAGTAGGGAAGATACTACTGGACAGAGGTGGAATAAAACATGAGAAGAGGTCAGCTAGGAGACCATTGCAATTCCAACAGTGGTGAAAAGAAAAAGTAACATAAAGTTTAATCTTTATAACAGTAGTGCAATAGAGGGTCTGAATTAAGGCATGACCACTTTGGAGTAAAGAGAAAAGAGGCAGTTTCATGATACACTTAGGAAGGCAGGACCTACTACTGAGAAAAAAAATGAGATATAGAGGGTATGGGAGCTGACTTGGATGATTTATGGGCTTCTGATTTGGGCCAGTGGAGAGATGGTGGTGCCACTAACTGATATCAGAAAGAAAGGAGGAAAACAGGAGGAAATTAAGAGGCTGGAGTGGAGGGAAAAGAGAGATGATGAATTTAATTCTGGACCTATTGATTTTGAGAGGGAAGCAGCATATTACTGTTAAAAAGCAATTTAAACACACAGAGTTTCATTATTATTTCCTATTAAAAACCTTTGCTCCATAAAATCAGAAATCCAAAATATAATTAAAAGTAATTCAGAGCAGGAAATCTCATTTTAAACTCTACAACAGATATGCTACTAATTCTTTCATTTATTTTAATAAACTTCATATTTTTCTTTCTCCAGTTTGGTAATGGATGACTATGTATTTGGCCAAAACTTGAGATGTGTCAATTGCATGCAAAGTTTCTAAGACTGATCATTCTAGCTGGTTAGATTGTTCTTTGTTATGGAAGAAATCACTAGCATAAATGACTCAAAACAGAAGAAGTAGGAGAATAGTTTATTTTTGCTTTTAGATTACCCTTTCCAACTTTTCCATGAAAAAAACTACTGAATAGCCAAACCACATATAGTTGAGACATATACTTTTTTTGGAGAGGTTTTTGCTATAGGGTGCATGCGCTCGCCAGAAAGACACAGACAGAGAGATACAAAGCGAGAAATCACCCCCAGGGAGGATGGCCACACTGCAATCCCTTCTCCTCCATTCTCCTCTCAGGATCTTGGGCACGCACGTACACGTGCCCGGCGTGAGTTTAAGCCACCGGGTCAAGGACTCGAACCGCGGTCTACTATGTGGGAGTCAAGCAACAAAGCCATTATGCTAACTGCTGGTCCCAAAAGACATATACTTTTGAAAGAGATATGGCAGGGACCAGCAAATGTCATAATGGTTATGTCACTGGACTCCCACATAGTCGACCACAGTTCGAGTCCCAGACCCAGTGGCTTAAAACTCACGCCAGGTATGTGTGAATGTGTGCCCAGAATCCCAAGAGGAGGATGGTACAGTGTGCCCATTCCCTCAGGGGTTGATTTCTCACTTTGTCTCCGTCTCTGTGGCAAGTGCACACACCCTATAGCAAAAAATCTCTCTTAAAAAAGAGAGAGAGATAGATGACATAACTATAGCCACTATCAAAAGGAGGTTCGATGTCTTTGTGTTTCTTAAAGACATCTTCTTTAAACTTGAATCTTACTGCTCTGAGGTTGATGATTTTCTGCCTAACAAAATGACCTTAAGTAATTTAAACATTCCAACTAAAGGGAAAGATATATCATTGATTTCCACAGGCTAGTGGTAGGTAGCAGGGTAGCATGAGTGAGTTTTTCTGGGTAATAAGACTGTACTATGTCCCAGTTGTGATAAACAATTATATGCCTGTGTTAACATTCACAATTTTTAAAAGTAATTATTTACTTAACTCCATTTGTTATTATTATTATTTTTTAATTTGTCCATAGAGAGACAGAGTGAGAAAATGAGGAAGTAAGAGAGAAAATGAGGAAGTGAGAAAGCAAGCCACCAAGTCCAGGATTCACACTGCAGTTGGCCATGTGGGAATCTAGTGCCTTTAACCACCACACCACCTGCAGGCCCCCATATTGTTTTTTTTTTTAATTTAAATGAACTACATATCAAAACTGGATAATTTTTTTATAACAATGAAAAAAATAAAATTAAAAACTCAGTTCCTCAGTTACATTAGCCACATTTCAAATGTTCAGTGGTTTATGTAGCCAGTAGCTGCCAGGGCAGATATAGAACATTTTCGCCATCACAGAACATTCTTGGACTGTACTGCTCCAGGTATCACTATATGTTTTCTGATAAAGTATCAACCTAAAAGATTATTTTCCCTTTAGATTTAAATATGTTCTATGTGGTATCTTCTAAACAAGACCTGATTTTGAGCTATTTTTTTGTTCCCCCAGAGGGCACATGTGCTCTTAAGAGAGAGAGTAAAAGAGGAGAGAATACAAACCTAATGTAGCATGGTCATGCCATGATCCTCTTCTCTCCATTTTCCCTCCCCATCAGGATTTTGGATACACACACACACACACACACACACACACACACACACAAGCAGCCAAGCTGCTAGGGCTGGGATTTAAACCACAGTCAGGCATGTGGGATCTGGCTCCTGATGCATTGTGTTTAACAACTGTGCCATGTGGCTGCCCTGAGCTTATTTTTTCCCCCCCCCAAAAAAATGTCAACTTACCAACATACCCAGTGAAAAATTGTTCTCACTTTAAAAGCAAAATTTACTGTCACTGGATGGTTTGTTGTCTTTTCTACCACCTTAGCCTTTCTTATATTTATAATAAGGATTACTTCTCAGGCAGAAGGAAACTATGTATAAAATACTATACAAAAAAAAAGCCATATTATCCTATGCTATTTTCATGCTGTACATGGGAAAACACTTCCTTATTTAGTAACTTCTATTTGCGTGTTTCAGAGCTGGCCAGCCAGATTCAGCACAAACAAAAATACTCCCCTTCAGGGTAAACAGCACTCATTTTTTTTTCTCTGAAAGTTAGATACCAAGAGACTTTTCAAACCTCAGTTCTCAAAACAAAATTAAACAACACCTTATTTTCATTTAAGAGGAAATTCACATAGTAATTATCACAAGAAAGGTCAAGGCACCAAATTCTTGGGCAGGAAGCTAACATGGCACTTACTGATTCAACAAATATTTACTGAGTGTCTATTATGTGCCCAGCACTGGGCTAGCTATTATGGACACAATGTGAACAAGGCCAAGGATAGACACCACATAGCTGGAAAACACTGGTAAGAGTCTGATTCCGCATCTGTGCTGTTTTCCTTTCACTCTCCCCCCCAAAAGCACCTCCCTCACTTCCTTCACAAAGTTCCAAAGTTTCAACAGCTTGTGTTTTTCTCAGAATTTTCTGTTAGGAACTAATGTTGTTATTTTTATTTTCAAAGGAACTATTTTTCCATTATTTTAACAGTTCCTCTGAAAGTAAACATAAGAGCCTACAAATTAAAACATGGAATTAAGGAATTAGGGTGTAGGACTGTTCACTGTACTTAGATGAAAGCAGCAGAGGCAGAAAAGGAAGGAAAATAAACCAAACCTGCTTTGTGGCCTCAACAGCATTTACAACAGTATAGAGTGCTGACTGTCCACAGTATTGTGTCTTTCACAATGTTAAATACGAAATTCGGGCACAGCATATGATTTCTGTATAACCTGTATAAATATACAAAGGCTGCATATTTTATTTCCAGGCAATATGAAAGCTAGAACCTTGTACAAATCACACTGACTCAAAGGGCTTCAGCTGCCTTAAACACTGGACAAAATAACAATTTTTAGCTATAACTTTCTATAAAAACAAAAAACTATGCTACTACCAATCCTTTGGTTATCATTAGTAC